TCCACTCTCAAGATAAGGTCAATCCTTTTCGAACGGTAGTACTCCGGATCCGCTAGTGGAAGTCCTTGAATGTGGGTCCATCGTTGCGGCGAGAAGCTTGAGCAGGGCAGCAGAGAAGTGACCGTGTACAAAACGTATGCCGAAGGGACGTCATTAGAAAGCGATGAGCAAGTATAGCATTGATATTCGGAGCCGACTTCCCGTTGAGACTGATCAGAATTATCAGCCATCGAAGATCCCGACTGCAGCGACGACGTCTGGGCAGAGGGCGCCTGCGGAGCGATGGCGGGCTGAGCTGCACTCGGCAAGTGCAACATCGTATGATGACGCTGACCGCAAACCTGACACCCCTTGTTGCTGGTGCATGCTTTGCGCCACCCTAGTCCCTACTACTCCGTGCTGGGGCTGTTCAATCCTTGGCTCTCGGGGTTTCGCTGCCCCAGGACTCTGGCAGACACAGCAGGGTTCCCGGCGTGCACGCCTTTAACACCCGTGCGCGTCCTTAGCGGCTTGTCGCACCAACACGCAACACACGCCACGAGACGGACCAAGCGTACGCCGGATCACCGTCTGGTAGACTCTACGATATGCGTCTGGTTCTGGACCCTTCCCCACCGAGAACACGTTTACTCGAATAAGGACTCGTGTGTGCCGACTTGGTTAGGACCCGCCGGGCAATATGCCAGGCTCAATGTCTCCAACCAGGGGTCGTTACAGGCGCCTAGTTCGATTCGTGTGCTGCCCACAGGACCTCAGCTACCTGTGTCTCAATTCGGAGACTTGCAACTTAAAGTCCCCAACGTCTCGACGTAGCGATCTTGCTCCTTGTAGACTGCTTGCTTGGGATTCTCTTTTCCTTCGTCCACGCCGTTGATCCTTTCTCGTCCTGCTCTTCGTGTTCGTCCTCGCTTGAATCCTTGCTTGTATCCTTGCTTGACTTCTCGCTCTCTGATGTATACTCATGCTTCACTTCTCCTCGTCTGATCTTGGCTTAACTGCGGGCCCCGCTTATATAGGGCCCCCTGGTCCCGGGTCCAAGGTCCAACGGCGATCCCGTTATGTCTTCGGTTGGATCGCGTGACCGGGTCCAAGGTCCACCGCGATCCCGTTACTTCTTCGGTTGGATCGCGTGACCGGGTCCAAGGTCCACCGCGATCCCGTTGCTTCTTTGGCTGGATCGCGTGACCGGGTCCAAGGTCCACCGCGGCCACGCTATCCTTTTATCCAGCCCAAGACTATTTGTGGGGAGTTATCCAACTCCTCACAGAGGATATGCGTCGACTATCGACAGCTTAATGCGCATTCTATATCCGATGCGTACCCACATCCGCACATCAATCACATCCTTAAACGCTTGCCAAACGCCACCCTGAATCGATATTGAGAGATTCCCGTCACGGAAGCTAGCCGCAGACGCACAGCGTTCAGCGTGCCTGGGCGTGGATTTTTCCATTGCAAAGCTATGAATTTCGGACTCCATTCTGTGCCAGCGACTGCGTGAAGCAAAACTGAATCGAAGCAAGTGCAAGTTTTTTCAGAGAAAGTTAGTATACTCGGGACACCTAGTCAGGACGGACCCGGACAAAATAGCCGCCATTTAGGGGCTACAGCCTCCCACTAATAGCAAGGAACTTCGTCCTGGGTGCCACATCCAGTACCGATGCTTTGTCCGGGATTTCGCTTCCATCGTCTAGACTACGTCCCGACTACTTAGGAAGAAAATTAAGTGGCACTGGGAGGAACCCCAACAGCAAGGATTTGAGGACCTTAAGGCCCGCCCTACAGCCACACCAGTATTGGCTTGCCGAAATTTCGAGCACAAGATCCAACTACAGACGGATGCCAGCGACAAAGGGCTCGGAGCAGAATATCGATGGGGAAGAGAAGGTCAACGCCTACGTGAGTCGACAGTTAGAGCGAGCCGATTCAAATTAGTCGGCTACAGAGAAACAGTGCCTTGCCATAGCATGGGCCACACGCAAACTACGTTGCTACCTTGAGGGCTAAAATTGCGAGTGAGTTCAAGTGGCTTAACTCTATCAACAACCCCCCGCGGGCCGAACAGCACAATAGGCACTGACGCTCCAACAGTACCAGTTCGCCGTAATCTACCGGAAGGGCAAATAGAACAAGCAAGACCTTTTAAAACTTACATCGTAAAACTGCGCTTGATGATGCAACGCGCGAGCTATTCGATCGACCAGGAACTGAAAAGGATCATACTGTTCAGATGACGACACGAGTTCTCCTCTCTGGACGGACTGACCCAATTGACCACCGCTTTCGAAATCGCTCGGGATCAAGATCACGCCCGGCAAGCGGCCCTGATTCCAACCGCGAGTTGGAACCTTGGAAGGAGAAACACCCTCGGCCTCGACAACGGACACACGTCAACACATCCGAGACAGCAAAGACCCGCACAGTGTCCCCGCACACACCGGGAACAAGCGGCGACCCACACAACGCTGCCCCACTCCCGACCATCAAGGGAAAATTTTCGATCTTGCCAACCATCTTAGATGGTGTAATCCTCGGCCTTGACTTCCGCTGTGGCATAGGCGCAGCCTTGATCTGCGTGGAAGTTTGCTCCCCCTACCGCTCAGAGAGCGAAACCGGCCCAGTAGCAGAGGCGACACCCACCACCGCACCTGTAAATTTTTCGGGCATACCCCAGGTGCCCCAGGATCGGTAGGGCATACCTCGGAAAAATAGGGAACCCCCATACCCGCTCCGAGGACCCATGTCCCACTGGACTCATCGCCAGTCAAGGCCGGACCAAGCAAGGAACAGCTATCCCAGAGGCAGGAAACACAGCCGACCTTCAGCCGCAAGCGAACAACGCCAGCAATAGGACCAAGAACCCTTTTCTCAGACGCCCACAGGCAGAAGCAAAAGGACGACTACGAAGGAGCAACCCATAGCAACAATTTGGATACCTGACCAGTACCCCCAGAGCTCTGACAGAAAATCGGCAGAAACCAGTCAAAAGCACGCGCAGATGCCACCATCACACGGAAGCGCCCCCACGTGCATCTCGCCATCGCATCCGAAGACTCATCCTGACCACAGGCATCCGAGGAACCTCACGACGAGAGAACCACCCACTTCCTACAGGGTAAGTTACAGCTTTTCGACAAGCTCAGCGCACCTCAAACAATTGCCCAACATTCCATCACTCTCCGCGATGACAAACCGTTAAAACAGCGCTATTATCCGAAGAACCCGGCCGTGCAGAGGATCATAAATGAACAAGTGGATGAATTACCACAAGACGACCGAATCGAGCCATCTAGTACTGGTCCGGAAGAAGACCCGAGATATGCGGATGTGCGTCGACTATCGACAGCTTACCCACTTCCGCACATCAATCACATCCTTGAACGCTTACGAAACGCACGTTTCATCTCTACCCCGAATCTGAAGAATGGAGAGATTCCTGTCACGGAAGCTAGCCGCAAATGCACAGTGTTCACCATGCCTGGGCGTGGACTTTTCAATTTCCACACGCTCTTAACAGCGTCATTGGATTAGCCTACTTGGATCACGTCATCGTCATCGATGCGACGTGGAAGATCATGCCAAGAACCTCCAGGAAGTCTTCCGATGACTGCGTGAAGCAAAAATTCGGTTGAACCAAAGCAAGTGCAAGTTTTTTCAGAGGAAGTTAGTATGCGGACAAAATAGTTAGGACCCGGACAAAATAGTCGCGATTAAGGGGCTACAGCCTCCCACTAACATCAAGGAACTTCGTCCTGGGTATCGCATCCTGGTACCGATGCTTTGTCCAGGGTTTCGCTTCCAACGTCTAGTCTATTTCCCGACTCCTTAGGAAGGGAATAAAATGGCACTGGGTGGAACCCCAACAGCAAGCATTTGAGGACCTTAAGGCCCGCCCTACAGCCGCACCAGTATTGGCTTGCCGAAATTTCGAGCACAAGTTCCAACTACAGACGGATGCCAGCGACAAAGAGTTCGGAGCAGAATATCGATGAGGAAGAGAAGGTCATCGACTATGTGAGTCGACGCTTGGAGCGAGCCGAGGAAAATTACTCGGCTACTCGGCAAACTACGTTGCCACCTAATCACGGATCACCTCGCCCTCAAGTGGATTAACTCTATCGACAACTCCACGGGACGAATAGCACGATGGGCACTGGAGCTCCAGCAGTACCACTTCGCCGTAATCTACCAAAAAGCCAAATACAATGTTGTTGAAGACGCCATCTTCCGACAACCATTAGAAACTTTTAGTTAGTCTTAGAGCATAAGAAAAGGTGCACATGAACTAAGGAGATACTGGAAAGCATTCAAAAACACCCCGAGAAGTTTCCGAATTGAACACATGGAAACTTTGCGTGTCGCGGGAGCAACGACAACGAGAACAGAAGGAATGACACGAACACGCGACAGATTGTTCAGCGATACTTCTGGCCTAGATTACACCGAGATGTAGTGTTTTCACTAGCTGCATGGCATACCAACAATTCAAAGTAAGAAAGCGGGAAAGATGCTTACCCGCCACTCTAAGGAACCATTTATGAGGATGGATAAGCCCACCCCACATTTCACACACGCCATATAATATTTTCATATTCACATTCGTATTCTTACTCATATTCACATTTTTAATATTGTTAGGCACACAAGGAACGATGCCAATGATCCCAGGAGCAAGTTAAGTAAAGAACGATAAGCATCGCAGTCGGAGTACCAGTCATAAAGACTGAGAATAGAAACTGAAAGCAAGAATAAAGAGAATTTAAAACAAAGTGAAATTCCCCAGCTACCCACAAGGAGCACATGAAACGGGTCACTTTTGTTATGAGTAGGTAGATAAACATTTTGGTGACCACGTGCGGCGATTTGTGCAGTCCGGGAACCGTGTTGCGCCAGAGCACCCACCGGCATCCTCTCCTCGGGGCACCAGTCCATAGCAGAATAGCGACAATTAAATGAATGATTAAGACCCGTGCAGAAGGTGTATAAACGAAACTAATGAATTATCTATTGAATAAAAACAGCATTTTTTTATTTTTGTTTATTAAAGAAAGCAAGTCACATTATTTTACCAGTTTAGCAAGTCTAAACGATTAGCTAAGAAAATTTCACCACTTTGGCTGTATTCATAAACACATTTAAGTTATAGCAAATAATTTTTATGTTCAAGAAGGCTGTTAAATACTATGACAAAGAACTCAGCTAATATTGAATCGACTTTAACGAAAATTGGTGAAAAAGGTAGGAGAAATAGAAGACAACTCTCAATCAACATTTTAAGTACGTGATATTAGAAGTAATTCTGACTAAATTATATAAGGAAAATAAAAAAAATGTATTTTTCTTGTTACCTTTTGTAGACTGATACAAATATATAACATAACATAATATTTAACACTTGTTGTAAGACCTAATTATCTGATAATTCAAAAAAGTTAAATATATTTGTGAAAAATAAGTATTAGTTTTTTTACGAACATGTACAAATATTCCTGAAAATTTGTATATTTTCCATTTTAAGTTTTTGCGATTATAATGGCTTATTTTCCCTACTATCATATTTCTCTTCTAGCTTCGGCAACAGAGGTATAGAAGCGGTTTTCATGTCTGTGTCATTTTGAAGTACTTCGACTTCCGAAGCAACGAAACTACTTATTGATGAGTTATCCGCATTTTTAGGGTTTCTAATTTGTTGGCCGTCTTGAAACGATTCAATATTGTTTATCCCATCATGACATATGTCGATATTCGTAGGGGAAGAATTGACACTTTGAAGGGGCTTAGATAGGCGCCTCGTACTTTGGTTCGCTGCAAGGAATCTCGGCTTTTCATCCTCTGTTATAGAGTGCAACAAACGTTCAACTTCGTCGTCAAATGTTTCAATTGAAAATGTTCCTGATTTACGACTCTTTTCCAACAATGTAGCTTTCTTGGCCGTAAGATACAGAACCCTTTTAATCGCAATATATATTACATCTGATATAGCACGAACGGAGTAATCAGGTACAAAGGACTGTCGAATTTTGGAATCCATGTTTAAAGACTGCAAAGAACCCATTTGTGTTGGAGAGTCTAGAAAAATAAAACAAATAGAAAACAGAAGTTATCGAATAGTACCTAATAGTACATAATTATAAGTATTTGAAAAAAATTTAAAAAATGTATTGAGCTGCATGGGTTTTTTTTTATTATGGAAGAGTCGCATTAGCATTTTGAGGGTACAGAAACAAGAAAAAAGGTACCTTCAGCGAGCCGAAGCTTATATTACTTACCTTTCATTAGTCATTACAAATGCTTTGCTCTGCATTATATATACCATAAAGGATGAACAACACGTAACATAGTAATGACGATTTTGCAATCAATTTTTCCTATTCTCACCGATTGTTTCAATGACAGCTATACGATATAAACATCCCGTTTTCATGAAATTTAGTTCAAAATTCAATTTATTAGAAAACTCGATACCCAAAAAATCGTCGTTATTAAATCATCGATATAATAATTTTGTTCCCTAAATGTTATATGGATGTGACAATTTTTGAGATGGTCCGATTTGTTGATTTTTTTTATGATTCAAGGATAGTAAAAACTGTTTTGTCATGGTCGTGTGAAAAAAAAACGATTTATATTATTTCTATATTGATTTTTGAGCTTTTCTATGGAAGCTACATGAAAATAGTTATCCTATTTCAATAAAATTTAATTCGAATTTTAATGGTAATTAAAAACACCATATCGACAAAATCAAGTCGATATAGTCAAGAGCAATCTTCTTTTTTTAAGACTGACGTCCAATAATTAAATCTTAATCTAATACATATACAGTAGAATCCGCTTATAGCGACTTTCAAGGGACCGACGATTTTTCGTCGTTATACCCGGAAGACGCACTAAGCAGAAGGATTTAAGTGTATAAGTCTGTCTGGGGACCAATCAAGCCATCGAGTTTTCGTCGCAATACCCGGACGGACACTATAAGCGGAGTCGTTATAACAGGATTCTACTGTATGTACAGTAGAATCCGCTTATAGCGACTTTCAAGGGACCGACGATTTTTCGTCGTTATACCCGGAAGACGCACTAAGCAGAAGGATTTAAGTGTATAAGTCTGTCTGGGGACCAATCAAGCCATCGAGTTTTCGTCGCAATACCCGGACGGACACTATAAGCGGAGTCGTTATAACAGGATTCTACTGTATTTATTTAATTAAAAGTTTTTAGAAAAACGACCTTGGCTATTGTTGCTGGTAGGGAGGTCTCTTCGCTGGAGTCGTGTATGGCTAGTGTTCCATGTTAAAACCCGTGCAAGCCTATTTGGATGAGCCTGTAGCTATATCGTATACATACTTTGCTTTTGCGTTGCCGATTTCGTCTTTAACAGATCCCACGTTTAAATCTCTGTGAATTTTCTTAGTATCTTTGATTGGGCTATCTCGAATACTTCTAGGTTACTAACGCATGCGTCCCCCATAGCTCGGAGCCATATTTCCAAATTGGTTTGAGAACTGAATTATACAGAAGTACTATGCACTCCAATTTAAGCGGAGAGCGAGCTTTTATTAAGGGGCACAACTAGTGTGACATTTCAAAAAAATCTTTTTTTTCCTCGTATACAGTGAATACGATCATTTTATCTTTAAAGGCGTTTTTCTCGAAACAGCATTCCGACCAAAATTTTGGGTAAAATTCGATTTTTTTTTAAAACACCGCCATTTTGTCAATTTGTGATATTTTTTATTTATCGTAGGTCATTGTATAGACAATATCATCTAGTTTAACGATAATTTTTCACTGTATATGCAAAGTCTGGACAAAATTGTGCCGATACATTCAAATGTATCCAAGTCTTCATTATCATTGTTATCTGTAGTAGGATAACGTTAAAAAAATGTTAAAAGATCAATAACTTCTAATGGGTAACTGCTGCGTTTTTTGTTTTGATGTACTCTTTCCTTGATGTGAATGCTGGAAGCCATCGGATCTGATGAATCAAATGCTCTACAAAAAACGTTAATCATGGTGTTTAAGCGACTATTTTGTCTTGCATGCGAACGTTTATCATTTGTATAAATTTTGTTCCGAGCTTCGGATGCAATTTCGCCTAGGCAGCCAAGTGGAAGGGACGACGCGGCAACGATATGGGCCCCATGAGCTAGTACTTTTTGTACAGTAGCTGACGTGGGTACCAGGGATATTTTTCTATACATAAAAATTCAGTTTTTGCGCAGAAACATTTAAATTTTGAACCTTATACAGTAGAATCCGCTTATAGCGACTTTCAAGGGACCGACGATTTTTCGTCGTTATCCGGGTATATATAGACGCACTAAGCAGAAGGATTTAAGTGTATAAGTCTGTCTGGGGACCAATCAAGCCATCGATTTTTCGTCGCAATACCCGGACGGACACTATAAGCGGAATCGTTATAACAGGATTCTACTGTATTTTAAAGTTGCTTGAAATTGCTATTAAAATAAAATAGAAAATTTTCAAAATCTCCTGGTCGAACCCAAGAGCATTTGCAAATTTGTCGGTATGGAAAAATGCTCTCCTCGCTGTGTTCCCCTCGTTGGTACTACCGCTTCCATTTGCTTTGGGCTTATCGACATGGAGTCCAATCTCCTCCCATAATTTGTGCTGAATTTTTTTTTTCCGGGCAGCCACTTTTTCTTTGTCTTGAGGGCCAAGTACTTGCCACTTGTGAATACCCATTCTGTATGCCACTTTTAAAACAAATACCAAAAAAAAAAGATTCCACGCATGTAGAGGACTTACTCCATACTCGAGCACATGGGAGTTCTACGAAGTAAATTTGTCAAATTGAACATCAGCGACAGTCATGAATTCCAGGGGCTTCGCTCCACAGATTGGGCAAGACTGGGTCGAATTGGTTTCTGTTAAAAAATTAAGAACTTTCCCATCAATTAATGTCATTTTCAGTTCAAAATTTATAGGGAAAACGCTGTTGTTCTCATCTGTGAAACCAAATTGCACTAAATTTTCAACTTCCGTTTTTTCTCTGCTCTGATATCACTTTGTTTCTTTTATGAATTCAATTTTTAGAGGCCTGCAAAATCGAACAGCGGAGACCGTTTCATCCAAATAACTCGGCTTATGGAATCCACTAACTTAACCCTTTCAGGACCATAAGAGGTAAAACAATCATGTCAAATAGTTAGGATGATTCATAGAGCACCTAAAATTCATATTTCTAAATAAAAATACTGAAACTAGGTATGGTTCTCCTATTTTTTTTCTGGGACACATATATTTCTATGGTCTCTATGCTGTGTTGCCAGCTATAAATAATTAAGTAATACGTTCAAAAACCCATAATAAATAAAATTACATTATTTCTTATGATAGTTATTTAGCTGTTTTTTATTTTTTGCTTGGGACATATGTGTCCCCGTGGTCGTCAAAGGGTTAAGCGGAATTAGTGTTGTCACAAACAGAGACTGATCGAATGTGTCTCTAGCTTCCAGTGCGAAATTTTGCTTGTAAAGGCTTTGCCCAGTTGAACCGTCAAATCCATAACTGGCAATTAATGTCAAACCGGAAATATCTTTACAAACTTTGAACAAGTCTTTTTGTAACAGCATAATACGCTCGGCTGTGTGGTTTAACAAGTTCTGTAATGAGACAGACGCGACAGATTCTGCAATATATAGACCTTTAGGTCTGCGTTTTATCTTTTGCATCGATAGTAGTTGCATGAGCAAGGAGATTGAAATCATTATCATTTTCTGCTGAAACTTCGCAAGCTAATCTATGCTTTAATAGAGAACGCCCTTCATCATAGCATAATCGTGGAAGTCATCCACGACTGGGGGATCCTTTAATTTAGTCTGATGCCTGAAATTTAGCTTGAAAACGTAATGCAAGAAAACTTTCTGCGCCTTATACTTTGGAACTATCCGAGAACATTTTTTTATTCCAGCATCAACATAAGCAACAAAGTTCTTAATCCTCTTTTCCAAAGGCTCCTCTATGTTTGGCTTTAAGTTTACAATTCGATGCTGCAACACAAAGTTGTAAAGGCTTTCGGTTTCGCGTCCATGTGCCAGCCGATACTCTAGCATTTCTGCATAACTTAGGTTTATGTTGTCTAGCAAAAAGATTTTTTTTGGAAAATGGACCAAAAACTTTTTGCTCGTCAGATTTATGCCATCGTATTGTAAATAAATTCAAGAACAAAACTGCGTTAATAGTTTTTATAATCCGGCACAATCCAAACTACTTTTATTCTACGAAACACGAAATATATTAGGTTAAAAATGTTTAATATACTATGTGCTATTATTTAGCGCGCCAAAAAGTCAACGTTTCTGATCAACGAACAGCTAACTTTCAGGGCCACCGAATTTAGCAGGCCTGCAATTTAAGTAACGAAATTGCGATTTTTAAATGCAACGGATATTATTCTATGGAAATTAAAAGTTTCTTTTTCATAACTTAAAAAAAAAATGAGTTTTTGGAAAATTATTGGGCATTGGGACCAGTGTGCAGTGTAGGCTTCTTGCTTTTATTTTAAATTGTGTTCTCTTAGCTTTGATGTCGTAAGTCGATCAAGGTGGACTCCAAGATACGTTACTTCTGTTGTTTTGGAAATATGAATGTTGTTCAGAGAAGGTGGGGGGCAAGTTTGTCTGTTTAGGGTAAAGGTGAAGTGTTTGCCCTTTTACTCTTTAACCTTTATGCCCAATCTGCTAGTCATTTCTTCAAAAGCCCGAGATGAGCTGATAATTGTTGCGTAGCTCTTATGGGGCACTTGGATCAACTTAGAATGGCAGTATCATAACCAAATGTTAAGGTTGTCGTAAGGCTGCTGTGTAAATTATATACCGCGTTGGTCCAAACGCGCTACCATAAGGCACTCCAGCTTCAATTGGATAATACTACCTTGATCAAAAAGTTCCCGACTTTTCCACCGTGTGGCGCTCCCAGTCAAACGATTTCAATAAATTTTTTTCCCAGATTGGTAGAACTGTTCTTTACATTCCCACCAATTTTCAGCGTCATCAATTGATAGTTGTCAAAGTTACGTTGTGTTGTTTACATTAAGCTTT